ACCTGGGTGGCAAAGGTTGCAGTGAGCCGAGATCACACCATTGCACTCCAGCCTGGGTCTCAGAAGGAGACTCTGTCTCAAAAAAAAAAAAAAATTGTTTTGTTGGATATAAAACTAGCTACTCCTGCTCACTTTGGGTGTTCATTTGCATGAAACGCCTTTTCCCACCCCTTTACTTCAAGTTTATGTGAGTCTTTATGTGTTAGGTGAGTCTCCTGAAGGCAGCAGATGGTTGGTGAGTTCTTATCCATTCTGCGGTTCTGTATCTTTTAAGTGGGGCATTTAGGCCATTTACATTGTTAGTATTGAAATGTGGTGTACCGTTGCATTCATCATGCTCTTTGTTGCATGTGTACTTTGTTTTATGTTTTTGCTTTTTAACTTGTAGTTTTGTTTTATAGGTCCTATGTGATTTATGCTTTAAAGAGGTTCTCTTTTGATGTGTCTCCAGCATTTACTTCAAGATTTAGAGCTCCTTTTAGCAGTTCTTGTAGTGGTAGCTTGGTAATGGCAAATTCTCTCAGCATTTGTTTGTCTGAAAACGACTGTATCTTTCCTTCATAAGTGATGCTTAGTTTCACCGGATACAAAATTCTTGGTTGGTAATTGTTTTGTTTGAGGAGGCTGAAGATAGGTCCCCAGTCCCTTCTAGGTTTTAGGGTTTCTGCTGAGAAATATGCTGTTAATCTAATAGGTTTTCCTTTATAGGTTAGCTGGTTGCTGTCTCAGTTCTTAAGACTTTTTCTTTCATCTTAACTTTGGATTATCTGATGACAATGTGCTTAGGTGAGGATCTGCTTGTGATGAATTTCCCAGGTGTTCTTTGTGCTTCTTGTATTTGGCTATCTAGGTCTCTTACAAGGCCAGGGAAGTTTTCCTCAATGACTCCCCCACATACATTTTCCAGACTTTTAGAATTTTCTTCTTCCACAAGTACACCAATTATTATTAAGTTTGGTCATTTAACATAATCCCAGACTTCTTGGAGGCTTTGCTCATATTTTCTTATTTGTTCATATTTTCTTATTCTTTGTTCTTTTTTTCTTATTTATTTATTTATTTATTTTTAGTGAGACGAAGTCTCGCTCTGTCACCCAGGCTGGAGTGCAGTGGCTGGATCTCAGCTCACTGCAAGCTCCGCCTCCCGGGTTTACACCATTCTCCTGCCTCAGCCTCCCGAGTAGCTGGGACTACAGGTGCCTGCCACCTCACCCGGCTAGTTTTTTGTATTTTTTTAGTAGAGACAGGGTTTCACCATGTTAGCCAGGATGCTCTCGATCTCCTGACCTCATGATCTGCCCGTCTCGGCCTCCCAAAGTGCTGGGATTACAGGCTTGAGCCACCGCGCCCGGCCTTTAATTTATTTTTTATTATACTTTAAGTTCTAGGGCACATGCGCACAACGTGCAGGTTTGTTACTTTTTTCTTTGTCTTTGTTGGATTGGATTAATTTGAAGACCTTGTCTTCGAGTTCTGAATTTCTTTCTTTCTTTTTCTTTTTTTTTTTTTTTTTGAGATGGAGTCTCGCTCTGTAGCCCAGGCTGGAGTGCAGTGGCTGGATCTCAGCTCACTGCAAGCTCCGCCTCCCGAGTTTACGCCATTCTCCTGCTTCAGCCCCCCGAGTAGCTGGGACTACAGGCGCCCGCCACCTCGCCCGGTTAGTTTTTTGTGTGTGTGTATTTTTTAGTAGCGACAGGGTTTCACCGTGTTAGCCAGGGTGGTCTCGATCTCCTGATCTCATGATCTGCCCGTCTCGGCCTCCCAAAGTGCTGGGATTACAGGCTTGAACCACCGCGCCTGGCCTGAATTTCTTTCTTCTACTTGTTCAATTATATTGCTGAGACTTTCCAGAGCATTTTGCATTTTTAAAAGTGTCCAAAATTTCCTGATTTTTTTTTCTTTAAGCTATCTATTTCCATGATATCTCTCCCTTCACTTTTTTTTTTTTTTTTTTTGAGATGGAGTCTCACTCTGTCACCCAGGCTGCAGTGCAGTGGCGTGATCTCAGCTTACTGCAAGTTCCGCCTCCTGGGTTCATGCCATTCTCCTGCCTCAGCCTCCCGAGTAGCTGGAACTACAGGCACCCGCCACCACGCCTGGCTAATTTTTTTGTATTTTTAGTAGAGACAGGGTTTCACTGTGTTAACCAGGGTGGTCTAGATCTCCTGACCTCATGATCCGCCTGCCTTGGCCTCCCAAAGTGCTGGGGTTACAGGTGTGAGCCACTGCGCCCAGCCTCTCCCTTCACTTCTTGTACCAGTTTTTGGATTGCCTTGCATTGGGCTTTGCCTTTCTCTGGTCTACCCCTGAGTAGCTTAATAACTAACCTCCTGAATTCTTTTTCAGGTAAATCAGGGATTTCTTCTTGGTTTGGATCCATTGCTGGTGAACTAGTGTGTATTTTTGGGGGTGCTGAAGAACTTTGTTTTATCATATTACCAGGGTTGGTTTTCTGGTTCCTTCTCATTTGGGTAGGCTCTGTCAGAGGGAAGGTCTAGGGCTGAAGGCTGTTGTTCAGATTCTTCTGTCCCACGGGGTGTTCCCTTGATGTAGTACTCTCCCCCTTTTCTTATGGATGTGGCTTCCTGTGAGCCAAACTGCAGTGATTACTGTCTCTCTTCTGGGTCTAACCACCCAGAGTCTACCTGGCTCCGGGCTGGTACTGGGGACTGTCTGCAGAGTCCTGTGATGTGAACCATCTATGGGTCTCTCAGCCATAGATACCAGTGCCTGTTCTGGTGGAGGCAGTCAAGGGTGCAACGGACTCTATGAGGGTCCTTAGCTTTGGTGGTTTAATGCTCTATATTTGTGCTGGTTGGCCTCCTGCTTGGAGGTGGTGCTTTCCAGAAAACATCAGCTGTGGTAGTGTGGAGAGGGAGCAGCAGTGGGCAGGGCCTTAGAAATCCTAAGATTATAGGATGTCTTCCACTTTGTCTTCCACTACCAGGGTGGGTAGGGAAGGACCATCAGGTGGGGGCAGGGCTAGGTATGCATGAGTTCAGATTCTCCTTAGGCGGGTCTTGCTGCAGTTGCTGTGGGGGATGGGGGTGAGATTCCCAGGTCACTGGAGTTGTGTACCTAGGAGGATTATGGCTGCCTTTGATGAGTCATGCAGGTTGCCAGGGAAGTTGGGGAAATACAGCAGTCACAGGCCTCACCCAGCTCCCACGCAAACTGAAGGGCCAGTCTCACTTCCACCGTGACCCCTTCCAACAGCCCCAAGTCTGTTTCCAGTCGGAGAGTGAGAGGGGCTTGAGAACTTGCCCGAGGCTATTTGCCTTCCAGAGTATTTAGGGTGTCTCCTGGGTCCTGCAGAAGCAACCCACTTCCTTCAGAGGGACTGTGGGTCCTCTCGGGATTGCTGGTTTGTTCTTGTAGTCAATCTGGAGCTCCATAGTCCTCCCTGCAGGACCCACAAGCACAACAAAGAGCAGCCTGCCAACCATCTTAATATTTGTGCGGATATCTCAGCCTCCTTTTAGTGCTCTTTTGGAAAACAAACACATTTGTGAATCTGCTAAAGGATGTGGACCTTATACTTGAAAACCCATATACTTTAACACACAACTTCGAGACATTCATACATCTATTAGAATCCATATATAGAACATCCTCAGAGGTCCATAGACCCAAAGTTTCCTTCTGGACCTCTGGTCTAGAAGGAAAAAAAAAGTTAACATTTACTGAGTATCTATTATATGCCAGACACTATTCCAGGTGTTAAATAGATTTTTCTCAATTAATCATGACAGCCCCATGGAGTAGGTACACTGTTCTCTATTTTACTGACAAGAAAACAGTAGCAGAGAAGGTCACTTGCTCCATCCAGGTAAACAGCCAGTAAATGACAGCACCAGGGAGCCCCTTCTCTAAGCTACTAAGTCACAGCTGTGAAATCAAAGACATGTAAGCAATTTAAAAAAAGATTGTATATGGTTACACACACCATAATCATAGCTTCTTTTTTGGGGGGTGGGGAAGCATGTGGATAATCTGCCTCTCCAGAGATCTGAGGAAGTAGAGATAATGTGGCACTGGTTGGTGGGGAGATACTTGGCTAAGTATCTCAGGCCCACCACTAATATTCATGGCACAACACAAAACAAAAGCTAGTCAGGCCCACCACTTGGCTTCCCAAGAATAGATCTGTGGCAGTGACAGTAGTCCTTGAACTTGAGTTCTTGACGGTGTAACTGAGATTAGTGCTGGGGTCCAAAATTTAAATTATCTCTAGGGGTTGGAATGTAATGCAATTGTGACACCAGGTTGGAATAAGGCATTTGGGCGGCAGGGGGCATGGTCAACTGGAGAGTACACGTCCTGTCTCAAGACATTCACATTTAAGAAAAACAACCCCCATGAGGGCCAAACAAAAGACATATTCAGACCAGGTGCAGTGGCCTGTAATCCCAGGACTTTGGGAGCCCCAGGCAGGCAGATCCCTTGAGCTCAGGAGTTTGAGACCAGCCTGGGCAACATTGTGAAACCCTGTCTCTACTAAAAATACAAAACCTAGCCAAGCGTGGTGGCGCAGGCCTGTAATCCCAGCTACTTAAGAGGCTGAGGCACGTGAATCACTTCAACTGGGGAGACAGAGGTTGCAGTGAGCTGAAATTGTACCACTGCACTCCAGCCTGGGCAACAGAGCAAGACTCTGTCTCCAAAAAAAGATACACACACACACACACACACACACACACACACACAAAAGACATATTCAGACATATTCAGCCCAGTGGGCCATCAGTTTGTGACCTGCGAATAGACCGTTCCCTTCCCACTCCAGGTTTTTCCCACGTCAAGAGTCAGGAATGCAGGGAATGCAGTCTGTGGGAAGGGGACACAAGCTGACCCACGTGACAATCAACGTTGTGATTTCCATTCCGTTAGAGCTATGCTTTTTACATGCTAACCAACCCAGCAGTAGGTCACTAGCAGAAAGGTCCAGACACCAGAGATGAAGAAACATCAGGAAGTAAATGATAGTACACAGGACGTACCTCATACATAGAGCGCATTCAAGGTCAGATGCGTCGAAAGATGCAAGTGGTAAACTGAGAGCAGGTTTGTCCCCCTGATCAGTGGGAGGATCTGTGATTTAGAAAGCAAGAAGTCAGCAGTGGAGTAACCTCGGTTTCATAGATAGTACTTCTGAGGCAAAAGAATCCAATGCGTTTTTCACTTTGCCACTCTCACCACCACCTCCCAGAGAGTTGATTTAGTGGACACCTGAGCCATTGAGAGTGGGACACTCAGAAGTAGGTTCTCAGAGGTTTCCAGCAGCCCCAACAGAAAGAGAAATGCAAGTCAAAGAATGTCCAGGAGCCCTGGGGACTTCATTCAAATGCAACAGGCACCTCTCTCAACAGCAGAAGCTACAGCAACTCAATGGATTGAGCCAGGCCTTCAAAGCTAAAACTGAATCTTGGCACTGCCAAACTCTCGTGGAAAGATAGCAAGCCACAGCTGCAGCTTCTCACATGCCTACCTATGGGAACACAGCTGGGAATGAGCAGGGTGAGGCCTGACCTCACTTTCCTCATCCTGCATTCCTAGAATGGGGATGAGGGTAGCGAGAGGTTGCCCTAGAAGGAAGTGGCATCCCCATGGGTATGGGATGCCATTAGTTGATACTGTGCTTGACCTAATGCCTTGGCGTTCCATTATATTAATAATTAGTATCAAACACTTACTACAGTGTGCTACGCACAGTGCATGCTCTCACAGAAGCCTCATAGGAATCTTTGAGGCCACACAGCTCATAAATGCCAAAGCTGGGTCACACACCCAGAGACTAAGGAGCCCCCGGACAGAGGTAAGTAACTTGTATATACTGGTGAGCCCAGGGATCTCCTCCAAGCTACCTTCTCCCTGGGTAGAGCCAGTACCTTGCTTGGAGGCTTTATTAGGCATCCCTGTGTCTTCTTGGGATTCAATTTGGCAATGTTTCCTTTTCTTTTCCTGGCATTTTCCAGTCTTGCTGGAAGCAGCTTTTGGAGAGGTAGCATCCCACTTCTCCTCCTCTTCTTCCTGGTCTTTCATGTGGTGCTGCTGACCATCCCCCTTCACTTTAGCTGGATCCATCAGACTGCTGCCATCTCCCCTGGCTGCTGCTTCCTCCTGACTAGAACAATGTGGGAGCTCCAGATTGTCCTGGATGAAGAAAGAGCCACATATCAGAATCTTCTTAGGACCAATATTGTCCTCTGATATTCTTACCCAGAGGGACAAAGGGAAACTATAGAGTCCTGATCCCCACCCCAATTGCAGAGTGAACACAGAGCCCCCCGCTGGGGGGCCGTCATAAGGTATTATTTCCTACTTCTTGTTCACACAGCATCTGCAACCAAGGCATGCCCAGCTTGGGTGGAGTTAGGGAACTTCCCTAGGCAAGGACAGGAAGGTATGTAGGAGGAGAGGCTCCTTGAGCAGGTCCAAAAAGGGGAAATGCCAGGGCTAGCAACAGTTCCCCTTCCCATCAAATCCTTCCCCAGTAACCACTTTAGCAAAACCAAGGCAGGCAGTGAGGGCAGATCCTGTCACTCAGTAGTTCCTCTGGCCCTCACTGCCATTCACGGCCGTCTGTGATCCCCAAACTCCAGCTCCAAAAGGACTTTTGGTAGGGCTTTGGCACAGGTCTGCTCACAGGCCTGCCAAGTTACCTCATGCTGCAGGGCTGTATGCTACGCTAGTCAAATGAACAAGGTACAAACTATTCCTTTTACTAGATTTGGGGTGAAAAGCATTAAAAAAAAAAAAAAAGACAAAATCACCTGGCAAAAAAAAAAAAAAACAATGTCTCTAGGCTTTTAAAGAATATTTTCCCAGGAGATGGATATTTGAAAAAGGATTTAGAAATAAGTGCAATAACAACATGTTTATGCAGATTTACATGGAGAACCCCTCTCTAATCTAAACCCATAGTCCACAGGTCAAGATATTCATCTTGTTGTTTCCCTCTAACCCTACCAAAAGAAAACTGGTAGACAGGTGAAAAAGGGGCGCATACAGCTGGGAGAAAACGATGAGGTGAGGAGAAAAACAGTGTGTGTTTTCTGTCTCTAACTTGGGGAGTTGGGGTTTTCTCCAGCACAACAGCAGTACTACAACCTTGACTTTCGATGAACCGAAGGCATTGGCCACTCAGGAGTATACTGCTTTGCAAAGCAAAGTTTGGGTGGAAATCCAATCCTTGTTCCCCAGCTAGTTCACACTGGAAAGCCAAGGCTGCTATTTTTCTTCTTTTCAGATGGAGCTGCAATCAGAAGTCACTCCAGGCATTTGGGTTCAGTATTAGCATCCTCAATCATGTAATAGTGATCTTAATGATTGAAATCACTGGGGGTTCTCTGATTTCAGGAGCTCCTCTAAGTTCTGCTGTTTTTTAACAAAAGCGGGGCACACCTGCATTTCAGTCCTTTTTTGAGAGTCCAGGGCTTACACACAGAAGAACATGGGGCATGAATGGAGGGAAAACTGCCCCCTAAAGGTGCCCAGGCATTCAGTGCTAAACTCTCCCCTGGAGTCTGCGCTTCTGATCCTCAACTTCTGATCACTTACCCTCTGCCGGGAAAGCCAGGGCCTGGAGCCCATCTCTCTTGTGTTCTGTTTTCTGGTTTTCAAAGAAAGGTACAAATACCTGTCCTCCTCCCAGGTCCTTCAACTCAACATTCTTTCCAACATCTCTTTCCTCTTCTCTGTTACAAATATGTATTGGAAGCTTACTTATGTATAAGGCATAGTGCAAGAATATAAAATTACGTCCATTTGAGAATCAAACAGAGTTGTCTTTGCACAGGGTAAGTGCTGGCACTCAAAGGCCAGCAGTTTGAACAGACAAAAGCTCCAAAGGAGGGAGAAAGGAGGGATCCTCAGGCCCTCTTCCCAGACTCCTCCCCAAAGCCTATAAACCCACTCAAATTGTACGGCCCAGGGGCAGTGAGCCAATTCCTTTCTAGTTCTGTCAAATCTCTCTTGGCTGGATCTAACCAAGAACTGAAAAAAAAAAAATGTATCCTAGCACTTTGGAAGGCCAAGGCGGGAGGATCACTTGAGGCCAGGAGTTTGAGACCAGCCTAGGCAAAAATGGTGAAACCCCGTCTCTACCAAAAAACAACAACAACAACAACAACAACAACAACAAAAAAAAAACAGCCAGGCATGGTGGCTCATGCCTGTAGTCCCAGCTACTCGGGAGGCTGAGGTGGGAGGATCTCTTGAGGCCAGGAGTCTGAGGCTGCAGTGAGCCATGATCATATGACTGCCCTCCAGCCTGGGTGACAGAAAGACACCCTGTCTCAAAATTTTTTTTCAACGTAATGAATAATTCTGGGACCATGCCTGAAATTCACAACTGCATCTTTAAGAGGTTCTTTGCAAAGAACAGAACCACTAGTGACTCAATTTCTTCTTTCTCAGGAACCAAAATAGGAGAGGGAGGGCTCACTCCCCATGTTTGCCCACAAAACAGCCAAACGAAGTGTCACGAGCGAGCTGGGTGAGTTGAGTTTTACCTGTAACAACCTTGGCAGATTATGGCTGGTAACTTCAGTAGTCATTGACTCTACGTTTTCCTTTAATCTAGGGTGAGGTGCCAACAGCTTCAGGATATCGGGAGAATGTTCCTGAGAATCCCCCGGGACTGATGGTGAAAAGAAACTAAGGAGAAGCTGTGACATAAAACAGAAGACTTCACTACTTAAGTTTCTACAGGTGCCCAGGTGAAGGGGAGAAGGGCGGGGGTGAGGGAGCCAGCTTTTAGGGCAGAACTCCAGGGAGGAAGCCTTGGACCAGTGTCCCCAACACACCACACTGGGGCAGGGGTCCTCGCTTCAGCAGCCATCAGAATCAACTGAGGAACTTATGAAAAATCTAGGTCTCTACTTTCTACTACCATCTCCCCCAGGTCTGAAGTGTGGCCGAGGAATCTGGATTTTGAGAAGGCACTACAGATGCCTCTGTTGCCTAGCCAAGGTTAAGAGCCACGATGCTGGTGCTAACACTCCGCAGAAATATCTGCAGTGGGATTTTAAAACTCATCTAGGAGGAAAGAGACAGAGAGGTGAAGTCAGGAGAGAAACCTCAGTTGGAGAACTTGAAGTTCATAATACCTCAGTGAGTAGAAGTCTACAAATGTCTTCTAGGATCCTCACTGTTTCTTTTCTCCATCATCCATTTTGCTTCCTCCTCTCCCCACCATCACCCCTGGATCTTTAATCCCTTCAAAGCTGGGAACCTGAGCAGTTAACCGTTAGGAAAAACAGAACACCAGCTTCCTCCCTCTTCTCCCAGCCTTGCCTCCCCTATTCTGGCCTTTGCCTCCCAGAGGATGTTAGGTTAAGTTAAAGTACTAGGTGCAAGGAGGTTCCAGTCTCTTGCTCTTTTCCCTTGCAATTGGATAAGCTGGGAGGGTAGATGTGCGTTCTAATGTAGCTTGCACCATTCACTGTCCACATTCTTGCCCCAAGTTTCCCCTGTACCGGCAAGGATTGTGTGAGTGTGTGTGTGTGTGTGTGTGTGTGTGTGTGTGTGTATGTGTGTTTCCATATACTGAAACATGTAACACAAGGAGAGCAGGTGACTTTGCTTCTAAAACCTACTCCAGTGCTTATCACCCAGCAGCTCCTGCAGTATTTGGAGACCCACTAAGGGATGCTCCAGTCCTGTGCTGAGGATACATAGTTAGGGTATTAATTCATCAGTGAAATTTGACAGAGCACCAAACTCCAGTTTGATTCATTCTCTGGCCTCCAGCAGTCTCTTCATGATGTTCCTTCAGATGCCAGCACTTGCCATGAAGCCAAACCCTGCTCAGCCTTCAAAGCTCAGCTCAAGTGCTACCTTCTCTCACTATTCCAGTCCTGTCCTATGCAGTAGAGAGTACACCATAATATAGCATCTTGAACACCACGTTGTTATCCTAGAAATGTGTCACAGATGTAAGCCTTTCTCTCCCGCCAGATGGCCAGCTTCTAGAGGGCACATAACAGATACCCAATAAATACTCATCCTACGGGATGGAATTGAATTAAGACACTTATCCACCCCAGGGCCCAGGGAGAGGCCTCGCATTCAGGCCCAAAGTCCTCAGATTGATCCTTATGTTTCCTTTCAGCTCTGAGAAACCCACTTTCCAGTTATGAGTTGGCAAAAGAGTTAAATGGGGAGGTACTCACAGCACCCTGGGCCATAAATGCCAGCTTTCAGAGGTCCCTCTTCCACAGGAGCCAAGGTTGGCCCTCTGAAGCCCTAATGAGTGACCCAACAGGACCAAGCCAGTTCTGAGGAGGCAGTATCCTTGGACTTCTCCCAAAAAGAGCATAATATTCTTCAATGGCAGCCACACAACATCACAAGGTACAAGGATGAAAGGGCAGAGGGTGGTGGGAAGGAAAAGGGAGAAATCAAAGGAAACAAAGCAGAAATAACAACAGCAGTTCCCTTCTTCATTTTACTACTTGCGATCTCTCTCTGTGCCTTCTCAATGGCATTGGAAAACAAAGGTTAGGGTCAATTCTCAGTGAGAATGATCACTCCACATGAATGAAAGTCAACTACACTTCAGCCTCAGCCTTAGAAAGGCCCAAATAGGTCAAGAAGGAGGAAAAAGAATCTGCAGTAAAAACAAACATTAAAAAGAAACACAAGCCTGTGAGTTCAAAGGCAGCTTATTAATGTCAACTCAACCTGCATCATCTCTGTCAAATCTTTAGCCCTAAAACTGGAATGATCTAGTAAATAAACACAACTGAGGACTCTCGACGTTCTTAATCGCTGCCATGGCCTCATCACACTCAGTGGAAATTCGCCTCTAAATTCTTGCCCTCACTTCAGAACTCTGTAACACTCATCATGGGCATACACTCGCTTGCATCATCTGGCATTTATGTTAACAAATGCAAGACTGTAAATTCCTTGAAGACTAAAACTGTGACTTACACCTCTTTGGGTCTCCAGAGCTTCACACAATGCCTTGCCTCAAACCATTAGGCAGCTGTGGAAATGACAACAGTTTGTCTATGAAAGCAGACTGGAGAGACAGGTCAGCCCAACTGATGACACCAAAAACATCTCAGGCCAACTGGGAAATGGACAAACAGGAGTCAAGAAACCATTCCTCCTTGGGTCTAAGACCTGCCTCTGTTGGCCTTTGCACGCTCTGTTCCCAAAGACAAGTTTCTTCTAACTGCCTTTGTTCATCACGGAACTGGAAAGTTCCATTGCTACTATTGACCCAGCATCACCAGTGAGTGCTGAGGCTGTGGCCATGTCCTCATGGGAAGCAGGATGGCAGAGCAGCTAAGATGCCAGGCTTTGGAAGCAGATAGACTTGGGTTTGAATACTTTCCCACCAATCACCAGCTGCATGACCTTGGGAAAGTCAGCAAGCCCGAGCTTCATCTGTCTCATCTGTAACCTGAGGATAAATAACCAAACCTAGCCTCAGGAATGTAGTGGGGTTTAAATAATCTACTCTACATAAAATGCCTAGCACAGTGTCTAATGTAGAAGAAATTCTCAACAAATGTTAGCTATTATTATTATCATTACATCATGGACTACACTTAAGATTTGGAGAAGGGTCCACAGCTTGAAGCAATTCTCCCCGAACCATGCTCCTCTCAAGCACACCTTTTTCACATACTCAAACCAATTCAAAGCAACTTCCCAGAAAGGAGATCCTTTGTGAGAGACAGAAAATCCAGGGCCAGTTCCCTTAGTTCATCGATTTTGCTAACCATTCCTTTCTAGAGCCTTCAGAAACCAGTTCTGTCTCTTGCTCAATTTCTTTATCCAATTCTCTGCCAAACCACACTGGGACAGAAACCGTAAGGCTCGGCAGTGAATAGCGGGTGGGGCACAAGGAGAGCAGAGATAACCTCCGACTGTCAGAATCCAACTCACAGGCCAATTACCCAGACACCAGCAGAGTAAACTGTAAAACAATAAACAACAAAGTCCACGAATTGAAGATGCCTGAGCCTTCACTCATGCTCTCGGTATTTCACACCATTTTTCTTTTATAACTACCACATTCTCCTGGGACCCAGGAGTTGGAATGACTGTTTGCATTCCATTGTAACGGTCTCTGACTAGCATTTGTGAGGCAGTGTGTTTTATTTTTAGCAAAGGAGCTGAAGGTTGGAGTTCTGTGTATGGTGATAGGAGAGGTGGGGACCACCAACGTCCCTTCCCAGGGGCTGGTTATCATGTGTGGATGGTGAAAACTGTGATTCAGCCAAAGAAAAGTTATGTAACAGTAGGTAGCCCCACACCCTGGATCTCTCATCAACAGCCAGAATGTCCTCAGTGAGCCTCAATCCCCATGTTAATGTACTTGATTTTGGTTTTTCTCCCACTGACAATCCAGACCCTGAGTCAAAGAAGCAAGAACATTCCTCACAGGCTCCTACAAAAATGTAGGAACTGCCCAATCTGATCATACACACCAGAAGGACGGTGTTTCTGGGCAATCAATTAGCACTCCCTTCTCCCTTTTGTCCCCTTAACCCAGGGAACCACCCACTCAGGACCCCAAATGCCAGGGAGGACAGCACCCTCACTCCCCTTCCTAGAGAAGACAGAGAGGTGAGGGTCCAATAGGCAGCTGGACCTGATGTCATTTCAACTCACTCTTTGGGCTTCACATCTTGCTCTCTTGTTCTTTCCATCAAGGGATACACAGTAGAGAAACTCCCTTAGTGCCTCCTCCACCTTGCCTAGGGTGGCTAAGGCTTGGGCTTTTCTGAAATGTGCCTGGAAGGAAACATTAGCATTCAATCCCATTTTATTCAGCCTATTAACACTACTGCTCTAACAATAACTAACCCAGAGCACTCTCTGTTGTGTAAAACATTTTAAAAGGACTCTCTTATCTACAGCCCTAAAATGTAGGCAACTGTTCTAATGCCATTATAAAGAAGACAAAACTGAAACCCAAAAACTTTAACTTGCCCAATGTAACACAGCTGGTAAATTGTGGAATCGGTTTGAACCTGGGACTGACTGATACCAAAGCCTGTATTCTTAACCACTCTGCCACACTACCTTGTCTGTGCCCCACCATTGTACGGAGTGACCATCAAATGTAGCAAGAACCCCTATTTGACCACATGCTAACCTGCTTTCAGGGCCTGCCCAGCTATGCCTTCGTTTGAACTAGTCTCTCAAGTAAAGAACTAGTCCTCAGTAGTGGCTTGAAAGAGCACCTAAACTAACTGATCAATTTTCAGAAGAAGCCCGGGAGAAGGGATCTGACCTACCCAAGACCTCAAAGGTAGCTAATGGCAAAGCTGGAACTAGAACTGCAGTCTCAGGACTCCCAGGATGCTCTTCTCCACAAAGCAGACTGCCCTTCAGAGGGCTAACCAGGGGCTGAGCAGATGCTTACTCTCCTAGGGGCTTGGATCACTGCTGCTCCCTCACCACATACTTTAAAAAGTATGAAGAAGTTTATGGTTCCTCAGGGCCCAAGCCCAACTGCTCTGGGAAAGACACTCTAGGGAGAGCAGAGAAACATCCTGGGAAAGAAGGAAGAAAAAATCGTAGTTGGGGGAGAGGGCTGCCCTCTGTGTGTGTCTTGAGACAGGTGGACACTAGCAACTTGGCTTGAAGAGCATTTCACTTGAGTCATCTAGGACGTCCCTCCACCCAGTGGCCTGCTCCCTTGCCTCCTCCATTGGCAGCACTAAGCCTAACTTAGTGAATGAAGTGATCCAGGTTGTGGCTGCTGGATACTCCCCTGCCTTCCTTTCTAACATGCCTCTTTGCAGGCCCCAGAGCCCTCAGGCTATGGCCTGGCTGCAGGGGCTGCCCTGAAGCTGCCTTCTTGAGCAGTGGCCCCTGCTCCAAACCTCTCGAGGACCTTTCTGCATTCCCCCAGCTCCTTCTGAAGCCTTGTCTTGGCTGATACATGGATGTTGATGGCCTCCCTTGTTGCTTCTCCCAGCAGTGTTTACCAAGGGCCTTTGGGAAAGGCTTGCATGACATCACAGGGCAGCTAGAGGGGAGAAGTGTTGGGAGACTGGAAAGGCCTCTGTGTGATCCCACTAATCATATCAAGTAGCAATCCATATACTCTTTTTTTTTTGAGACAGAATCTTGCTCTGTCACCCAGGCTGGAGTGCAGTGGTGGATCTCGGCTCACTACAACCTCCGCCTCTTGGGTTCAAGCGATTCTCCTGCCTCAGCCTCCTGAGTAGCTGGGACTACATGCATGCGTCACCATGCCCGGCTAATTTTTGTATTTTTAGTAGAGATGGGGTTTTACCATGTTGGCCAGGCTGGTCTCAAACTCCTAACCTCAAGTTATCCACCTGCCTCAGCCTCCCAAAGTGCTGGGATTACAGGCGTGAGCCACCGCGCCTGGCCAACCCATAAACTCTACCTGCTCAGGGCAACCAGCTCACACCACTGAGAGCTGTATCACCTGCAGGATGTGCAGAGTACCACACACTCTGTCTGGATGGCTGGAATAGAGAATAGGGCTGCCAGATTAAACCCCTACACTTGGGGCATTTTACACAGAAATGTTGGGAAATATGCAAATCAGGGTGGGAGGTGGTTTTGAATTATATGCATCACTTCCAGTCTTCTCTTAACCCCCAAGACAATAAATTATCTCATCACTGCCCCCACCTATCACTTCATCACTATGGGGAAATGAAACTCCTATTTAATACTTTCATCAACTCTTCCGTCACTGGGGAAGTCACTTTTCCCATTTCACACCCAAAATGCTTCATTGCTTCTCAGTTCTGCTTCTCACCACACTATCAAGGTTCTTAGCCGTAAGATCTAGGCTTAGGGTGGAGGTGGAAAGAGCTGCAAGTCCTCTTACTCCTAGGCAGCTCCCTGACTTGCACTACTGGGAGGCTGAAAGTGCCCCCACTAAAGCTCCTTTGGGTTAAGACACTGGTGCCTTGTATTAAACACTAAATGTGTTCCTTGGGGAAAAAAAACATACTAATTCATCATCACTCATGAAAACCTTCTCAGGAAAGAACATACAATATTCAACTGACATTCATGGCAGAGTACACAGGTCCACATGCTTTATCTGGTTTCCAGATCCAAAAAAGTTCTGATAATCCATTGTTTTCATAAACTCGACATCAAAATTCATTAGATGGCAAAACCTGACCTCAACTGATATAAAGTGTTTAAAAATATTTAGCCCACTGAGTGTGAATTTTCACAGAATCTGCTGGATAGTGTGTTTGATTACAGGAAGCTATCCAGAGCTCACTGAGACCTAATATATGGTCCTTGCAAAATATAAAACATTCTGGATTCTGAACACTTCTGATCTTATAAGATTCAGATAAGGGATCATGGACTTGAACTTGGATACATTGGTTTTCTGAGGAAGGCATCCTTGGGTTGTGTAGAGAGCGAGCATTGCACCCAGCAATCTTTATAGCTTGCAGAATGTCCTCTTGGCCACGTTCACTTTTGACCCTCACTGCATCATTGCGAGGCAGTCAGGGCAGATACCAATAGCTTCATTTTGCAAACAAGGATACTTGGGGTTCAGAGAGTGAAGTCACCTCCCCATGGTTTCCAAGTAGTAGAGCACAGGCTCAAATCTAATCTTCTAAACAAAGTACTGACATATGGCTGAGGGCCAGTCCTGAAGCCAGGCAAAGATACGGAAAGTGACACTTTGCATCCTGGCATCCTGAGAGGTGTCCAGGCTGTTTTTCTTCTCACCCCCCATCTGACCTAAATCCTTGGGGACACTGGCAGGCTGACTGACTATATTAAGGACTTGAAATGGCACAACCATTGTGTGAGTGTGAGGATCCCTTCAGAGAAAACTGGTTAAGCTGCCAAGGAGCCTGGCTATCAGTAGAGGTTCAGGAGCACCAGGCCAGCAACACCACTCTCACCTTCCTCTTTCTAATGTCCCTGGAAAATGATGATAATGATGGCGATAGAAAACATTTATGTAGGCCGGACACGGTGGCTCACGCCTGTAATCCCAGCACTTTGGGAGACTGAGGCAGGTGGATTGCTTGAGGCCAGGAGTTTGAGACCAGCCAACATGGCAAAACCCCGTCTCTACTAAAAATACAAAAATTAGCCGGGCATGGTGGCACACGCCTATGATCCCAGCTACTCGGGAGGCTGAGGTGGGAGACTCACTTGAACCTGGGAGATGGAGGTTGCAGTGAGCTGAGATCACGCCACTGCACTCCAGTGTGGGAGGCAGAATAAGACTCCGTCTCAATAAAAAAAAAAAAAAAAAAAAAAAAAAAAAAAAAAAAAAAAGCCAGCGCAGTGGCTCACACCTGTAATCCCAGCACTTTGGGAAGCCGAGGCGGGCAGATCACACAGTCAGGAGATCGAGACCATCCTGGCTAACATGGTGAAAACCTGTCTCTACTAAAAAAATACAAAAAAATTAGCCAGGCACGGTGGCGGGCACCTGTAGTCCCAGCTACTCGGGAGGCTGAGGTAGGAGAATGGCGTGAACCTGGGAGGAGGAGGTTGCAGTGAGCCGAGATCATGCCATTGCGCTCCAGCCTGGTCATGAGAGGGAGACTCCATCTCAAAAAAAAAGAAAACAGAGAGAGAGAGAAAGAGAAGAGAGAAAGAGAGAAAGAGAGAAAGAGAGAGAGAGAGAGAGAGAGAGAGAGAAAGAAAGAAAGAAAGAAAGAAAGAAAGAGAAAGAAAGAAAGAAAGAAAGAAAGAAAGAGAAAGAAAGAAAGAAAACGTTTATATAGTGCTACATGCCAGACACTGTTCTAAGCACCTTACATTATTAGCTTATGTAATCCTCACAACAGCCCTATTTAGTAGCTGCTTTGAATATCCCCCATTTTACAGATGAGGTGATGATAAACTACTGGGAAGTTAAGTCATTTGTCCAAGGCCACGAAGGTCATAAAAGTAGCAGTTGGGACACAAACCCAGGCAGTCTGGCTCCCAAGTGCATATTCTAGAGAGTCACTGTGCCCAGGCTGTTCTGAAGGTCATCAGTTGAAGACTGAATTGGGGAAGAATCCAGTTCCTTTGTAGACCTGAGTCACCCTTTGCCCAGGGATCTTTACCCTGGCTCTTTTGCAAAGCCTTCTTCCTGTTCTGCTCGAGCTCTAGAGCCCCTACGCTCCAGGGAGGCAGCCCTTCCTGCCAATTCCTGTCTACAGTACAACCCCTTCCCACCTCTCCCATCCCACACTCACCTTAAAACCCATTGGGCGGAGCTTACATGCTATTTCTGCATCATGCAGTGCGTTCTCATGAGACTCCAAGGTGAAATAAATCTGAGACCGATTGCTATAAAGCAAGTGGTCATTCGGAGCTGCGAAAATAAGAAAGAAAAACCCTTATTAACAGCCCCCAGTGCAAGCAGGTGTTAAGTCCTGTATGAGTATGGATCTTGAGAAATGACAAGTTTTCTAGGACTTTTCTACTGGAGATCAAAAGGGTTAGGCTCTATTTCTAGTCCTAATATTGTCCTGCTTTCTACACCCCCAGCCAGTCTGGGCCTGAGGTTCCCCAGCTGCAAAGTCATTTTTGCCCCCGCTTACAAGCAGTTCATTAGAGGCCCCGTGGTGTCAGTGATGCATTAGACACTTTGACATAGATGAGATGTGGCTACACACAGCTAGGGCCTGGCAGCCTGGTTTATGAGTACAGTATTACCAACAAGAAAACAGGCCAGGTAGGAAGGAGAGAGAGGTGGGCAGATGTGACCCCTATCTGAACCACCAAGAAGACAAATCCAAGTTAGTTTTCCAGGTGGCAATGACTGATGACATTAACAACATCTTAGTCTACAAAGCCCAGCACATATGAAGATTCCCTGAAGAAAATGGAAATACATTTACATGGTCCCATCCTCTCATTTCACATGGTCAAATGTAAATGAACTTGGACAAGGTTTCTGGGAATAAGGTGAGGCTGGCTCTCACCAAAAACTCCGAATTACTAGATGTCAGAGCTGGACAGGCTATTAGAGATTATCTGGCTCAATCAACCCATTCTTCAGATGGGGAAAATCAAGCCCAGAGAAGGGAAGGCATCTTCTCAAGGTCACACAGCTAGCTGGGCAGTCACTGATAACTGGTCAGACTTCGAAGCTTTGAAGCTGGGATGTGGGGAGCAGGTAGGTTCCTTTTACTGAAGGTGTGTACAGTACTTGGAATAATGCGGACACAATGGCCATCTTCCAGAACAGAGAGCCTCCTTTCCTCTTAGAAGGGTAAAGCTGGCCTTGACATTTTCACCCTGACTTCTCTAAGGGGATTAACAAAGACGCAAGGAAGAACCTCCAGGGGAATGTGGTGGCAATAGGAGGGTGAGGGCAGGAAGGGGCTTTCCTGGCCCTTGGGGGGTGGCTAAGAGGTATGAAACCTGCCTTAGAGATCTGGAGTTAAGTGGCCTCCACCTGCCTCATTCCTATTGCCCTGCTCTTCCCCAAGATCTGGGCTCTAGCTTCCTCTGTGGCAACAGGCTTTGATGGTTTTTTCCCCAGGGGTGTGCTGAGGGCTTGCTTGGGTGCCCATTACTTGCTCTTAAGACATTAGCAAATTGTTTACAGTCTTTTCTGTCTTTCCTCTTCTGCAGCACACTCCAGCCTGGTGGCAGCTCACAGTCCGCCTTGCTTGTGCACAGACAGGAGCTAGAGGGGTCCCCTTCTCTAGCTGCCAGCTTTGCCCTGTCCGTCCTCATTCCTCCTCCTCCTCTCCCCATTACCTGTTGCAAGCTTGAGTGGAGATTCAACACGTGGAGACTCCGGCCCACACCCCTCCTCCACTCCAGAGTCAGGTCCAGGACACCCTCGGATCCCAGGGCCCTGCCTGCCCAGCCCTGCTGCCTCCTCCCCGGCATGCTTCGCCAGACACCGCGCCCCGCGACCGAGCTCCTGGCAGACTGCCCGAGCTGGGCAACACCGGCTGGCGGCTCAGCTGCCACTTCCTGGGTCCAGGCACGGTGGCTCGGAGAGAGCGTCTCCCTGGTGAAATTCGGGTGCCCTAGTCTAGCTGGATATGTGGGACTGCCCACGTTGCCCTTGAAGCTGCAAAGCCCACCCAACCCTCCCAGGTGGCACTGGAAAGCGGGACAGAGGCGTGACCCATTCGTAGCCAGCCCACGGTCCCCGGGGATCCCCAAGCAGTTGCCGGGCCCGGCCTCCCGCCGGGCTGGCCAGGTTAAAGGGGTTCAAGGCGAGGGCACAGGCTACGGGTTGGCGGGGCGGGCGGGGAGGGGGGACATCTATTTCAGCCGAGGATCGTGTGATAGGAAGCGGTGACAATGAGTCACAGGGCAGCGGGGCGCAAGCGCTCCCCCTCCCCCCGCACACGCTCGTGGGATGGTTTCCGAAGCGAGCGTGGTGGCCCACTTCAGTTACCTCAGCGGTTACACAATCCCGCCCGCTCGCGCGGGGGAGGGGCGCCCGACCCGGGCCGCTCGCGGCCCTTATGCAACCAGTGCTCTCCTGACCTAATTCCACGCCGGACCCACCCCACAGGGAGCCGCGGCCCCGGAAGGGGCAACACCCGGTGTCGCGAGCGGTGGACGCAGGCGCCGACCGGACATCTCGGGCTGGCTACAGCCCGGAGGACCAGGCGCGAGTGCGAGGAGCGCGCGAAGTTCCTCTCCTCGCTGGGAAGGTGCGAGCAGGTGTAAGAGGAGGCCAGGAGTGCAGCGGGAGAAGGAGAGTCAGAAAAACAGAGACAGTGACACCGAGCAAGAAACAGTGACAAAGATGCAAAGAGACGGAGAAAAAGAACCAAAAGCAAAGAATGGGGACTGAGAAACAGGAACACAAAAGCTAACAGAAGTAGCAGGAAAAGACAAAAAGCAACGGAGATCAACACAAACACAGTGAAAGACAGCTAAAGCAGTGAAAACAGGACAAACTCAGAGACCCAGTCCCAGAACCACCCCTCCCCCACCCCGGCCACAGTCCATAGGTCCCCCGCCCCCTTTTCTGCCCTGGTCCAAATCCCATCTCGCTAGGGGGTTTGTTCTCCCGCTCCCTCGTGTAGCCACCGAGCCCCAGCCCCGGCCCGGCAGCGCGTTGAACTCACCCAACTTAACTGCCTCGTTGTACTTGAGCAGCGCCGCCTCCACCTGGCGCTCGCGGTACAGCCGGTTGCCCTCGTGCCGGAGTTGCGACGCCCGCGCCGGGCCTGGGAACAACTTGCCGAGGAGGCCGCTGAGCACCACGTTGACTCGCAGCGGCGGCGGCGGCTGCTGCCCAGCCCGCCGGGATCCACGCGCCCGCCCAGTGGCCACCATCAACGCAGAGAGCTTGACCCCGCACAGCGCACAGCGCCGGTCGGCGGCCCGCCCACGTTCCAGGCACAGTTTACAAAAGGTGTGGCCACACGACAAGGACACGGGGTCTGATAGAAACCCATGACATTTCCGGCACTTAAAGCCGTCCCACACCTCGGTGGCCGCCGCGGCTGCGGCGGCCCCAGTCTCTTCCGCCGCCACGGCGCCGCTTGCGGTGCTACCCTCGCCCGGGGGCGCTGGCGCCAGCGCCTCGCCTTGCGGGACTTTCTCCGCCAGGCAGCGCACCAGCTGCTCCAGCTGCTCAGCCACCAGCTGCTGCCGCTCGGAGAGCTGTCTATACACCTCGAGGGCTTCCCGGATTCTCCCCCGGGACGCCAAGGCGTCTGCCTGCGTGAGCAGGACTTTGCTCTCCGGCGTTGAGGTTCCCGGAGACTGCTCTTGCTCTGGCTCCCGCGTCGGTAGAGGTGCCGGGCTCTCTGCAGCCGCCTCTCGGTGGGGGCCCATGTCTACTTGGGCCGCTGATGCCCCTCGCTCCGCCGGCTCCAAGTTGTTGCTGCTGACCTCGGCGGGCAAGCTCAGCATCTGTTCGGTCCGTAAGGACTCCATAGGAAGAGGGACACGGGAGGGGAAGAGGCGTCTAGGGACTGGGGACACGAAGCAAAGAGTGGCAGCTGGAGGAAATCGGGGCAGCCACCGCCGCCGTGCCACCGAGCTCCGGACCCTGCCGCGCCTCCGGGAGCTCCATGCCGGGCGCCCCGCGCCGCCTAATAACTGTCTTGTCTCAGCAAAGTGTTATATAAAACGGTACCACGTGACCTGCCGCCACGCTGCTCATTGGCCGGCGGCGGGGAAATTGTTACAAAACCAGACAGTTTTGTAACAGTGTTGCTCTTGCTTCTTTGGGCTTCGCTTTTCTTGGCTTCTTTTTGAGGTTGTTTGTGTTTACACGTCGCCTTATTCCTCCTCGCCACCTGGTTCTTTATCGGAAGTGGAGTTGGGGGGTGGGGAGAAACTCAGTGTCTTCTCTTGGGCTTCTCAGTCTCCAAACCCCACCCCATCCCACGTCCAAACGGGCCAGCAAACAGGTCCCCTCTGCCAGCCGCTGACCAGCGGCCCCCTACTCCTCCTAGGAGAGGCTGGTACCTCGAGGTGCACAGTCCGCGGGGTCTTCCGGGACGCCTAAGGCTTTCCCTTTTGGGGAGATGGCTGCTGTCAGGGAAAGGAAGCAGGTTGGGAGGGGTATCCATGAAGCCCTCCCGCCCCCTCCCCAACACACACACACAACCCAGCTCCAGCCCGAGAGCCCTGGGAGCCCCGCCTGGGTTTCTTGCCTTCTCTCAGGAGCCTCACAAACGTGGTAAATGCGGTTTCTGAGGGTGCTTGGTCTTCCGTGCCAAGAGCGACTCAGAGCAGCGGGTCCCACCGGCGCAGAAGTTGGGCAGCGCTCGCTGGACAGTGAGGAACTCGCAGAGAAGATGCACTTAGCCAGCTCAGCCCTGGGAGGGAGATGCCCCGCCAACTCCCCTCCTTACCTCTCTCCCCTCAACGCCAGAACTAGCGCTGGGGCGGGCGGCGGGCGCCCAGCTGGAGACATACCAGGCCCGCCCCTGGAGCCACTGGCCGGATGCGCGCGGCCGGGAGTACCCGGCCTGCTGGGGTCGGTGGGTACTCTGGGGGCGTGCGAGAGTGGCAGGCGGAAGACGCTAACTGAGAGCGCTGCTCAGGAGAAAGTCCGCGAATCCTGGCACAGCCCAGTGACTGACTGAATAGCCTCCAGGTTTGTCGCTCCTGAGCGCTGCGCGGGAGGGGTACAACTGGGCACGAGCCTCACTGCCTGGTTTACAATGGCTAGGGGGCCTCGACGGTGTCCCACACACTTCCTGAAGGCGAGCAGGGTGGCCAACTGCACACTCTTTGCCTCCCTTGAATCCCCACATTTAGGATGGGAACTAAGCTCACAAATGAGCCAACAGAAAACGGTATGGTGGCACTGCTCCAAGCAGGGAGGCAGCGACTAGGCTTGCCGCTGGCTCAGTTGGCCTTCAGAGCCTGCAGGCTCTTGGGCAGTGCCAGGGTGCCGCCCCAGGGGCCTGAAGACCTATTGTTGCCTCCTGCTGCAGCCATCTCTTAGCTGGATGACCTTGGAGAAGCCAAACTTTGGAATCCATCATTTTTCCTTCTGAACAAATGTCAGAGCTTATCTTACTTGGGATTAAGTCATGTTTCAGAGCTGGGTTATGGCAGGCCCCCTCAGGGCTCTGCTTCTCTTTAGGTAGTTAAACCAGCCTTAGATCAACACCAAGGTCCCAGAGAATAGGTACTATGCAGCTAGCTGTAGAGCCTCTCTCTAATAAGACAGGACAGGGGGAGAGGGTCACAGGGCAGAAAGGAAGCATCATATAGGGGGAAAAAGACACACACACAGAAGAAGAAGGAGAAGGAGAAGGAGAAGAAGGAGGGAGAGGGAGAGGGAGAGGGAGAGGAAGAAGAAGAAATAGAGAAACTAGTTGTAGCCAGGAAAGCATGAGGAACACATTGGAAAAATTGGCTTGAAGCCTTGGATCTGTCACATATTTGCTATGAAACCTTAGGTGGGTTCTCCAAACCTTAGTTTCTCTTAATCTCCAAGGTTCCCTCCAGCTCTAACCTTGAGTGGCTTTGATCCTAAGACCAAATTTCGTGTTACTTAAGTACAAATGATTAGTACTCAGTTACTTAAGTACAAATGACTAGTCCAAATGCTGTAGATGGTGGCTTTAACGGGGGTTGAGGGGATAGGAAGTCAATGGAAGGCTGTCCATTTAGTCGGGTCAGACCTGAGCTAGATTTTTTTTTTTTTTTTAGACGGAGTTTCATTATTGTTGCCCAGGCTGGAATACAATGGCACGATCTCAGCTCACCGCAACCTTCGCCTCCTGGGTTCAAGGGACTCCCCTGCCTCAGCGTTCCAAGTAGCTGGGATTACAGGCATGCGCCACCACACCTAGCTAATGTTTTTGTATTTTTAGTAGAGACGGGGTTTCTCCATGTTGGTCAGGCTGGTCTTGAACTCAGGTCCCGACCTCAGGTGATCCGCCCACCTCGGCCTCCCAAAGTGCTAGGATTACAGGCGTGAGCCACCACGCCCAGCCCCTGAGCTACATTTTTAAGATGTAGAAGTTGGAGGACTGGCTAGGAGGCGGAGGAGGTGGCCGTGCCACACAGTAGGGGAGAAGTTGGGGTTCCTGGTGACTTGCTATCTAATTGAGGGGAGCTCTTTTCACTTCTCAGTTTCCCCTACTATCAAATGAGATCCCCAGCACTAATTATCTGCCTGCCCCTTCAGGCACCTGTGAAGAAGGACACTCGATGGGGAAGGTAGAGATTCATGAGATAGATAATGATGAAACCATCTTAATTAAAGAGCTTTACCCCTTTGACATATCTAAAAAATATACATATGTCTGTTACCCAAAATTGTTTCCTAGATGCAAATCTGGGATGTGCTTTGCTCCGCGGAAGACCTTGACAAGGGAATATCCCCTGGGTTGATTCCCCTCCCTTGCCCTGTTATGGTAGGGAGGCTAGGAGAGGGCCAGGTCAGGTAGAGAGTCACAGTCTTGCAGGCATGGAGAAGAGAAGCTCCCTCTAGGCAGGCCCTCTTGGCTGCCGCTGCACAAGGTTGACCGTGAGCTTGGTCAGGAATGTTAATAGCGTTCTGGATAATGCAAGGTACTCTGGTGTAAATGGCAGTACCAGCTACTCACTGACCAGACTCCATAGGGAATTTTACATTGTAATCAAGACTGCCCGTAGGACAACACCAAGTGGGTTTCTATTGAATGCTGAAAAACATTATCACAGTGGTTTTCTTTCTTTCTTTAAGTTAAACAAGTATTACCATTATATTGATATACATTTGTGAACCAATTCAGAAATCTCCTACTTAGAACTTCCTTCCCTCTGCTCTTACTAATTGGAGACTCCCTGGAATGAGGGGAAGGGGGAGATTAACACCATCTTTTTCAGGTGCACATATTCCCTTTGGAGTGTCAGATTCTCTAAACCTCCATTTATTTTGCTAGGCTCACCTTGTGGCTGACAAGAAGAGAGAGCAAGGATTGAGCTGCCCCTCATTTTCAACTAGTAGTTTCCCAACTGGGCTCTTAAGAATCTCTCTGGGGCTCAGAGGAGACAAGCAGGCAGGCTTTGATCCTAGCTCCCTTCAAGCAGGGCAGTATTGTATCCATCTGTTTCACAAAAGTGAGCCTCCAGGTATGATTTCATTGAAGAAAAACTGTCCCTTACAATATCAAGTTTGAAAACCATAGCAATTTTTACACGTTTTCATGTATTTGTTGGGCATCTTCCACATACCAAGGACTGTTCTAGATACTGGAGACACATCAAAGAAGCAGCCGGGTGTGGAGCCTCATGCCTGTAATCCCAGCACGTTGAGAGGCTGAGGCAGGTGGATCACGGCAAAACCCCGTCTCTACTAAAAATACAAAAAAAAAAAAAAAAAAAATTAGCAGGGCATCATGGTGCACGCCTGTAATCCCAGCTACTTGGGAGGCTGAGGCAGGAGAATCATTTGAACCCAGGAAGCAGTGAACCCAGGTTGAGGCAGGAGAAGCATTTGAACCCAGGTTGCAGTGAGCCAAGATCACACCACTGCACTCCAGCCTGGGTGAAAAAGAAAAGCAGCACATAACTCCCAGGCTCTCCCTCACATATGATAGTGCATCTTTCCCCACATACACACGTACTGGCTTCCCATGTAGGCTAGAAGCTTCAGAGGGCAAGGACTAGTATATCTCCTCCAGTGACATAAGCAGGACAGTGCTTGAACAGATCTTACTGAACATGCCAGTGAACATTCTGGCCCTAGGAGTGTGCAGAGGGACAAGAGGAAACAGTTGGAATGCCATGCACTGTGGTCATTCACAAAGCAGAGACTGGGCACACAAATAACAAATGGTTGACAGTCTTGTACTTGGAAAGGACTGCTGAGCAACTCTGGGAGGAAAGAGTCCATTCAAAGCCAAAGACCTGTGGTAAGGTGTAAGCAACCCCGTGCACACATACACATGCACACACTCTATGCCTGGAAGCTTGGCCAAAGCATGCATTTGTTCTGTATTTGATAGTCTCATTTTATAAACTGGGGTGACCCATAAATCTGCAGTCCTTACGGGGGAAAAAAAGGAACCATGAACATTAATGGTATCGATATGGAAAGCAAGACCTCCCCTTGCTATACAGAGTAGCCAAAATCCACAACTGAAAGAAAGTTTAGCCGGGCATGGTGGCTCACGCCTGTAATTTCAGAACTTTGGGAGGCTGAGGTGGGTGGATCAGTTGAGGCCAGGAGTTCAGGACCAGCCTGATCAACATGGTGAACCCCCATCTCTACTAAGAATTTTTTTTATAAAAAAATAGCTGGGCGTGGTGGCGCGTGCCTGTAATCCCAGCTACTGAGGAGTCTGAGGCAGAATTGCTTGAACCCAGGAAGTGGAGGTTACAGTGAGCCAAGATTGCACCATTGCACTCCAGCCTGGGCAACAGAGCAAGACTCTGTCAAAAAAAAAAAAAAAAAAAAAAGGAAAGAAAAGGAAGGAAAGAAGGAAGAAAGGAAAGAAGGAAGGAAGGAAGAAGGAAGGAAGGAAGGAAGGAAGGAAGGAAGGAAGGAAGGAAAGTTAGCTTACATGTCAGCTCTGGTTTCACAAATGAGGCAACTGAACACTAGAGAAGGCAAGTGACTTGCCACAGGTCATAATGAATTTGATACGGCCAAATTGGAAGTTAGGGTTCATATCTCTTTGTCTCTTTGTTTATAGAATTTTTTCCATGTGATCTGAAAGCTAAAGAGCACAGAACATCTCCTTCTTTTTTTTTTTTTTTTTTTTAAGACACAGTTTCACTCTTTTGCTCATGCTGGAGTGCAATGGTGCGATCTTGGCTCACTGCAACCTCCACCTCCTGGATTCAAGTGATTCTCCTGCCTCAGCCTCCCGAGTAGCTGGGATTACAGGCATGCACCACTGCGCCCAGCTAATTTTGTGTTTTTTTAGTAGAGACGAGGTTTCTCCATGTTGGTCAGGCTGGTTTCGAACTCCCGCATCTCCTTCTTCTTACTTATTGTAAGAAATTATTTCAGATTTCCCACCTACAAGATTTTCATCGGTTCAACAAATATTTATTGAACATATATTATGTGCTAAT